CAGTCTGATATAAGCAGCTGGCAATTTCAAACAAATATCTTCCTTTTCTACTCAGACCAAATCCTGCTGCAGAGGTCTCAGGCCCCTCCCATGCTTCCACCTATTTTTCAAACAGCGCAGCAGGGAATTCTGCATTTTCTCTCAATTAGGGAGCACATCAAAAACTTGATTCCCCAGACAGAAACAAATTCTGTATAAAGTCCTACATCCACTGTTTTTTCTGTGATTCATAACATAGGCCAAGGAGTACCCTCAGCTCTAGGTGTATAACATGACTAACATGGCTAAGAAAATGATTCTTACTCCTTCAATTTGCCATCAAAACTCTGATAATTCTCATACTTCAAGGAAAGACAGAAGAGCACAGAAGAGGAATCAGTCAGATGAAATCAACAGTCGTATACATCAAGCAAAACTGGCCAATAATCCTAGTGTTTTAAAAATACTAAGACATTATTCCAATAGGCAGAAAATTCCTTATCCCTGTCTTTATATCAAAGATACTTAATGTGACCCTTACATCTCTCCCTGAGGTATTCAGCAAACAAAATCCATATGATGGAAAAACTGAGTGAGGCAGGATGGGATTACAAATTCCTTGCTCAGTGAGGGCTCATATGAAGTAGACAGAGATTCTGCTTCATTGTTCCTTTATTATCTCTCATAGTTCCCTTCATAAAGTGTTAAGAGTTTAATGTATTCTGTCAAAATAAGAGGATTCTCTAAAGTAATGTTTTCCAACACCTGTCCCCCACCAAGTTACAGGGTATCTTTTTTCATAAGACTGCAACTAATTAAACAAAATACGTACCGAGATATTAAAGAAATGATATTCTATCAACCTTTGGTGAACTTCCCTGAACCTTTCCAAGAGAAATCAATCATTGCATCAAGGGAAAGGTTAAAAATGCCATTTCACTACATATTTTGGAATTTTTGGCAGCAAGGAATGGTATCAATCCCTGTTTATCATAGGTACATTATACCTATTTTCTAAGGAGTGCCTCTGAAAGGATTTTTTTTTTTTTACAAATAACTACCAGTTGTATTACTAAATATATATTATCTTACAATTTTGCGGAGTCAAAGTTTTGTTTGTTTTAAACAAACATCCCTATCAATAAGTTTTAGTTTTCAATAGCCAAAACAATTTTTATAAAAAAAATTCACTGCTAGGCCTTTTAGTTTTAAATTAAACTGACACATCACCAGAGGTGAACCACAAGTTATAAAAAATTTTTATTTTATTCATGATCCAATTTCTCACTGATAAGATGTATCCAACAATCATTAACTGTCCTTAACTGTGGCCTAATGTTTCATAAGTTATTTGAATATGAAGAGGATAAAGTAAAAGTGGTTGTCTGCACATCTGTATTTTCTACCATATTATTTTCCTGTCCAAAGGAAAAAAAAAGGAGTAGCCACTCTCCTCCAGAAAGGCCAAAATAAGCCCAGAAAGTATGTAAGTTCCTGGACACAAAACACTATCAAAAGATATTAAAAATTTCAAGCATACTGGTTAAATAAATCCTATGAAAAGGCCCTCTATGCTCTTAAGGAAATGATCTTACATTAAGATCACAAGGGGGTTCCAAACAGGAAATACAAGTTAAAAGCAATTACTTTATAAGGTAACTTTCATGTTACATAATAACTTAAAGACATTTATATCTAAACTATGTTAAACAGCCAGTATGAGTGAAACCATATTTACCTGACATGACATCTTTTATATGTGATAGTAATAAGAATTAGAACCACCTAAAATATTATCCATTAAAGGTTCTGTTTCATTAGTCTGCTTACATCCCTGAGCGACAATGCAAGCAACCTTTGTGAATGACAAAACTCATTTCCATTCTTTTTGGTTCCCGCCACAAATGCCAGAGTCACACCACACATTATAGATGACTGGGTACATCTGCACAAAACTGAACATATCAAAATTCTTAGGGAAAAAAATATATGGGCTGCAAGAGTCGTAGGGATGTAACTGATGGTATATTGTGGTGGTGGTTCTTCTTCAAGTACTTCCATACTCAGCAAACTGTTTGCTTAATCAGAGATCTCCCTGAAGTGTGGGAGCTGTGGGGGAAGAGAGACCACATAAGGGGCTCAGAGGCTGTCTTCTCAAGTATCCTGTCCACTAGATATTTGATTTCTGAATATTCTTTCTAGTCTGTCCCATATTTCAGATGGATCATGGCCAAACATATACATCCTTGTGATCTTAGATGACTATATTCAACATTATTTTAATGAATCAATATCATAGGTCAAATTCTAAAGAAAAAAATCTAATCTGGAGAAGTCTATTACAAATACAGAAAAAAAGAAAATACTTCTGATAGTTATATATATAGAAATAATTCCGAAAAGGATAGTTCTTTTTAAAGTTTATGATTCCGAATTTAGTAAAATGTTTAGCAAAACACCTGTTCAATAAGGTAAATATGGTCTAACCAGAAGTAAGGAGACATACAAATAAAGTATTAAAATTGATTTAATCATTAAAGAGATGGAGGAAAACCTGTCAGTTGCAGAAAAATGAACTGATATTTTCCCCATTCTCGTTCTCAGGGAGATCCTTAAATTCTTATTACTTTGGTTGTAAATGTATTGAAAAATTAAAACTCAAATGGAACTTCCAGTCCTATCCAAGCAAAAACCCCAGGCAAAACCCAAAATGTGCCAAAAAACCAAAAACCGAACAAAAAAGAAAAGTCTTTAACTATGATCCAGTTTCCAGATGGTGATATCCATAAATGGGTAGAAGGTTACGAATTGCTAGTTCTCATGTCCCCACCAATAAAATGCAAACCAGCTCAGCAGTGAAAATTCCCAGGAAAGCAAGGTTTCTTCTTAGTCCTAAAGCAGCCATCGCCTAAGTGCAGCTCCCTGCAGCCAACAGCATTAATGGACGCTGCACTGCTGTCCTTCCCTGGAGACAGCAGCCAGCACTACTCAAGCTTCTCACGTAGCAACCAGAGCTCCAGAGCCAGCAGCTGCTGCTGCCTTGTATACTCACCCCGGTGATCCAACCCAAAGGAACAACCTACTCCTTACCCCACCCCCACTCCTTACACACTCTTTTTTTGGAGGTGTGGAGTGGGGTGGGGGGAGGACCAGTGTTCCATGCCAGGAGGGCTGGAATTATGCCTTTAGAAAGAAACAATCCTAAAGTCACCCTTTTAGTTTGAACTAAGTCCTTTTATTAGAAAAATCAACATTTACCAAATTCCAAATATATATTTAATAAGCCAGCAATTTAGTAGTGCAGATTAAGCTTTAGTCTTTAAAAGGCCAATTTGCCAAACACTCTCTTTACAGTCAAATTTAAATCTGCAGTTAAAGACAGCGGCTTGTGTTATGTCCTACCAAAGAACATAATTCATTTTTCTACATATAATGACATGCTGAGTAAACCTTAAAGATTCTAATCCCATAATGGGCCAGAATTTTTGGCTACAGAAGAAAACTAATGATCCTCCTGAGAAAACTGGTAGAAACCAATAAAAAAATTACCTCTGTCCTCCAAGAGGCCCAGAAACTCTGATAATGTGAATATTCTCTGCTTTAATACTACCTCAGATTCCATACACCTAAAATTACCATTTATAATTTTTCTCTCAAAGTGACGTAAAAACATTAATGATATAAAACTAATCACCAAGAAATTTTCCCAAATAGGGGGTACACATTCTCCTGAAAAGCTCAAACACTCAACTCAGCTGAATCCTCCCTAATCAAAGTATAGCTATGTAACTGCCCAACAAAAAAATGTTAATATGACCTTGGTTACATATCTGTTATTTAAATGCAACTCGTTTAATCAAGTGCTAAGGGAAATTAGCAGAAGACCCAGGGATTTTTCCAGTACTACAAGAACGGGGAAAACTGGAAAAATGAACTAACTACAGACAAAGCCCAACGGAACCCAGAGGTCTGGGCAAGAAATGAGTTAGGGGTGAACACACTGCACGAGTAACATGAGAAAGCAGAAAATGCAGGTCATACACGCACCCCTGACCCAGACCAGCAGAGCTGGCTCCAGCACCAGTATACACGGGAAAGACCAGTTATTCCTAAGAAGTGAGACAAGCAAAAGAACTCTGTAGAATAAATTAGCAGAGAAGGGGCTTTCCCGACAGTTAAACTTTCCCTCTCACGCGATTCACCTACTTAAAACCAGGGCTCTTCCTCACCACCATTCACTTCGCATCCCTGGCTTCCGCACAGACGGAAAGGGAATTCATAAAGGCTACATTTTTCTGCCTTTAAAGACGTTCGCAAATGATCGCTCTCCACGCCCAAGGCAGGCAAAACGACACAATCTGGCTCCATTCCAAGCGAGAACCCTACAAATTCAGTAGGGCCATCTCAGAGATACTGGGGCAAACGCCACCGAGAGCCCAAGAATGCGAGCTGGGGGTGGCGAAGGTAACGTCTTTAGTGTGGGGAACGAAGCAATCATCTGCGATGGGGACCCTGGCCGAGAGGGAAGGCGTCCAGAAACATTCTGTGTGGGGGGGGGATGGAGATCGAGGCCCCCAGAGGGATCAGAGTTGTCACAAGGCCGCGCGAACGGGGGTGGCGGTGAGGTTTGGGGAGGGGGAAGAAGTGTGCCTGTGTATTTTGAGGGGAGACCAGAGAGAGGCCTACCCTCAAGTAAAAGGTAAACGTGGAGTAGGCAGTTCCCAGGAAAAGGGATGAAGAGGCGTGGGGGGAGGGGAAACGTCCTGACCCAGGAAAGACGTGAAAAGGGTAGCGGGGTCGACGAGATTACCGACGGGGCCTCTCTGCCTGGGCAAGAGGGGTGCAACGATGTGTGGGGGGCAGCGAGCGGGATGAGAAGGGGCAGCATCCTCCTTGCTGAGGGCCTGGGGAGGGCCAGGCCCACGTCCCGAGAGCGAGCGCGGGGAGACGGAGGAGGTGATCCTTCCCTCCCCCGGGGCCCGGTCGTGAGGGTAGGTCTCGCTTTTCTGTCGGACCCTTACCTTGTCCCAGGCCTGGGCCCGGGCTGCGGCGCACGGCACTCCCGGGAGGCAGCAGGACTCGAGTTAGGCCCAACGCGGCGCCACGGCGTTTCCTGGCCGGGAATGGCCCGTGCCCGTGAGGTGGGGGTGGGGGGCAGAAAGGCGGAGCGAGCCGAAGCTGGGGAGGGGGAAGGGCCAGGAAAGGAAGGGGGGCCGGCACTACAGTGTTGGCGAACTGGCGGGACTGGGACTGCGTGAGTCTCTGAGCGCAGGCGGGCGGCGGCCGCCCCTCCCCCGGCGGCGGCGGCGGCGGCGGCGGCGGCGGCGGCGGCGGCAGCGGCAGCAGCTCACTCAGCCCGCTGCCCGAGCGGAAACGCCACTGACCGCACGGGGATTCCCAGCGCCGGCGCCAGGGGCACCCGGGACACGCCCCCTCCCGCACCGCCATTGGCCCCTCCGCCCACCGCCCCGCACTCATTGGCCAACTCGCCGCCAATCAGCGGAAGCCGCCGGGGCCGCCTAGAGAAGAGGCTGTGCTCTGAAGCTCCCGCTCCTCAGAGAGCCTCGGCTAGGTAGGGGAGCGGAACTCTGGTGGGAGGGGGGGGCCTGGCGGTTTGCCGGAGGAGGGGGGGGAGCAGGGTGGCTGACGCCGTCTGGCCGGTAGCTGGGGGTCACCTTCCCCCGCGGGAAGTCGGGAGCATAGCGTTTGTTACGCTGCAGGGGAAAGAGGTGGTTAGAGGCAGGCGGGAGTGTGGCCCGCCCTGCGGCAACCGGAGGGGGAGGGAGAAGGGAGCGGAAAAGGCTCGAATCCGGACGGAGCCATTGCTCCCTCAGAGGGAGGGGCGCTTCCGGCTTTTCTGCTGTCACTGATTGGTTGCCGCTCCTCCCGCCGTGTGTGAAAACACAAATGGCGTGTTTTGGTTGGAGCAAAGCGCCTGTCAGTTACAGCCTCGGGAGTGCGCAGCCGCTTAGAGACTCTCGCATTGATCCCTGGGGCGGGTAGGTAGGTGGGGTGGGGAGAGAGCTGGACTGGCGGGCGCGGTCGGCCTCCCGCGGGGGGGGGGGGGGGGGGGAGGGTCAGTGAAAGTGGCCCCGTGCGGACGTCCTGCCACCCTCCCCTTCCTTCGGGGGAGTCGGTTTACCCGCCGCCTGCTTGGCTTCGGCATCTGATTGGCTGCTGAAGCCCCGGCAACGGCCCCTTGTTATTGGCTCGGGTCCCAAATGAGCGAAACCACTGCGCGGGTCGGCGGGGAGGCGGTCGTTGGTACGGCCCTCCCCGAGGCCCAGCGCCGCAGTGTCTGGCCCCGCGCCCCTGCGCAACGTGGCAGGAAGCGCGCGCTGGAGGCTGGGGCGGGCTGCAGGGCCGAGGCTTCTGGGTGGCGGCGACTGCGGCTCCGCCCTGGGCGTCCGCCGGCTGAAGGACGAGACTAGCCCGACGTGCTCCCGGACCCGTGGGGGTGGAGGAAGGAGCGGGGGTCCGTCCTGGTGGTTTGTGGGTGGGAGGCGCATGTTCTCCAAAAATCGGCGCGAGCTGCAATCCAGAAGGAGCTGCAGAGGAGGGGGCGGAGAGAAGGCCGCACCCTGCTCGGCAGGGGGAGGGGAGTGCCGCAATACCTTTATGGGAGTTCTCGGCTGCCTCCTGTCTCCTAAGGACCGCACTGGGCCTAGAAAAATCCCTCCCTCCCCCGCGATCTTGTCATCGCCTCCATGTCGAGTCGCTCCTTCTCGATTGTGGGCGGGATTCTTTTGCCCACGCTTAACCTGATTCCTGGGCGTTGTCCTGCAGGAAACTGAGCAGGTGTAAGATTATGAGGACGAGCCCAGTTTCTCTACCCACAGACTTGAGTTTGTGTCACAAAGTTATTATAATAGGGGTGGAGGGGGTAAGTGGAGTCCAGGCAACACCTGGGGCTGATTTTATGCAGCGAGACTGCGTGTTATTAGTTCTTAAGATCTTTTTTCGCATTTTTCCTGGAGATTAAGGGAGGTAGATGAAAGGCATGATCTCCTGAGTTTTAAACTTTACCCATTTGAAGCCCTTGCTACACCACCAAAATAGAGCATCTTAGATTTAAATCTTAATCTTAAAATTTTAGTCCCCCACCCTTGCATCCCCAGGGTCAGGCATTTTAGCAACTCTCACTCATGCTTTCAGCCCATTTTCTATTTGTTTTACTTGCTCATTTAGTCCCAGACATACCATTGGCTTTCTTCTCTCCTGCTTTGGTAGCCCGGTAAGTCATGAAACCACACAGGCTACCCAACTTGAGCATAGGCCTCACTCTTGCCCAGCAATGCGTTTATTTCTCCTTTACGGATATTCTTGAATCTTCACCTTAATTTTCATTTTGTCCTTTTCCCTCATCTGGGATTCTACTCCTGACCCTCTTCTCAGTCCACATGATTTTGGCTACTGCTTTCCTGAGAATTGGGTGTGAGGTTCAGCAACATCTCTCTTTTATGTCCTTTGAATACCTTTCAGTCCATCTCCAGTGCTGTTCTCATCAGTAAGTGAGCTCAGTTGCCATAATGCTAGTAGCCTCTGAACTAGTGTCTCCATCTCCGGTATCTGCTGTTACAACTTTTGTGTGTCCAGGACAGTTGTCCTAACATAAAGGTAGAGCATGAAAATAACTGATCCAACTCCATTATTGGCTCCCTAACTACTGACAGGATGAATTCCATCGTTGAAAATGTGATGTGCAAGGTCCCTCAATGGACTGATCTCACCTTAACAGCTTTTTCCTTTGCCACAGTTTTCTGCATATACACACAAACACTACTTCTCAAGTCACACTGAATTGACTGCTGTTTACCCAAATCATAGTGAGATTATCAGACCTCTTTGTAGGGTGGTTCCTCCTGGAATGCTACCCTTGATAATCCTTACCCTTCCAGTAAAAACTGTTAAGACTCAAATATCATCTTGCCTTCTGTGGTCTGCTGTCCTTTAAGCCAGACTCGCCTACAAAAAAAGTTAGTATTGCTTTCTCTTGGTCCCAAAGCAGGTTGAATCATAGCACTTCTCAGGTTGTTGTTGTTGCTTGTTTAAACTCTCTTAACTATTCGGAGCTTTTTGAGGGCACAGGCTCTTGTTGAGTCTTGTACTTAAGCTCCTAGTATATTCCTTGATGGCTAGCCAACCCTAAATGAAAGGTGTCTTTATAAGGTTTGATAGATTGGCCTCTCAAACGCTTCTTTGTGCACTTGCTAATGCTCTAGATTAGCACTGCCCACGAGAACCTTCTGCAGTGATGGAAATACCCCATAGTTGTGCTGTCCAATATGGTGGCCACTAATCACACATTACTTTTGAGCCCTGGAAATGTGGCTATTATGACTAAGGAAGTCAATTTTTAATTTTCTGTAATTTAAGCTTAAATTGCCACTGTGGAGGTGTGGCTATAGCCACAAAGTTGTGTTGTAGATTGCAGAATACTTAATGTGGACATTGATAATTTTGTCTTCATACTGAGCAGTAAGGAAATAAAAGTTGAACCTTTCTGGCCCATTTAGGTGTGCGCCCCGACCCCCCCAGCCCCCCACCAAGTTGGTTGGTTGGTTGGTTTTTGTTTTTGTTTTTTTTTTTTTGCGGTACTCGGGCCTCTCACTGCTGTGGCCCCTCCCGTTGCGGAGCACAGGCTCCGGGCGCGCAGGCTCAGCGGCCATGGTTCACGGGCCCAGCCGCTCCGCGGCATGTGGGATCTCCCCGGACCGGGGCACAAACCCGTGTCCCCTGCATCGGCAGGCAGACTCCCAACCACTGCAGCCACCAGGGAAGCCCGGTTGGTTTGTTTTAAAACTTATTTGTATACTTTAGCTGACAGCTGAATCCAGCAAACCATTACTAAAGATAAACCTGCCTTGGACAATGGTGTGTTGAGAAAGCAACTGTTGATTCGTTTGAGTTTCAAGAATGCATAATGGATTTGAGGAAAGTGGGATTTCATTAAATCATAACGGTGACAGAAGTTTAATGAGGAATAGGACTATATCTGATGTTAGTGAAACTAGCCCTGAATTTCAGTTCTACAAAGTTTTCAATTTTGGAAAAACTTCCATCAGAGGAGGCCCTAAGTATCATATCTTAAGTTACAGGAAATCATCACAAAGTAAGTTTTCATTCTGATGAAGTATAAATTAATAGATATGTTTTAACACCAAAATGCTTTTTGGTTTGTATGCTAATATAGATAGCATCTTGTAAATTTCAAATTTTTTATATTTAAAAAACAAGTTTTTTAACTTAAAATTTCTTAAGATTTCTCCTTAAAATATGAGAAGTGCACATAATTGGCTTGCTATTTAATGCAGATTCCCAGTCCCACACTCAGAGATTCTGAATTCAGTTAAGACTGGTGGGGGTCACTAGAATTCTGTGTCTTTTATATGCTTCTGATGTTGGTGGCCCAGAAAGCACGCTACAAATACAGCCCCGAGGGGCTGTATGCCTGTCTTACAAAAATGATTACAACTTCAGGCAAACTGTATGTCCCCTCTACTTTGTAATTTTTTCCTCCAGAAAAACTGAATAAATGGGGAGACATTTTGAAAGGCAAAAAAAAAAGTTATGTTTAATAGTTTGGGAAACATACAGGTCAGACTGCTTTGTTTTAAAAGGAATGTTAAACTATTCCAAGTAATCTTTTTTTTTTACTTCTTTACCAAGAAAGTTCCCTCTTTCGTCTGTTTTCCCACTAAATGCATTCCTCAATGATACAGATTTGTTCTTGATTCCCTGGTGCCTGAACACAGAGCTGGGTACTCAATAAATGTTGATTTTATTGATTTATATGTGAAGTTTGTTTTCAAGTAATAGTTTAAATCCACAGAAGCAATGCTCCTTTTATGGAGAAACTTTAGGATCATACTTAACCCAAGTCACCTGATATTCTATTCATAAAGGAAACTGATGCCTCATGGTCTCTGAATACATTTGTCTGCCATTCAGCTCTTCCTTGGGTTTCCTGTGCAAACCCTTGCACTCATCCTCTTCCTATGCTTGACTTCCTTAGGCTTTATTACAATTTTTTAAACAAAGCAGCTACTTACCTCCTTCTGAAGTAGAGCCATATTATTTCTTATACTCCTAGGACAGAAATTAAATAGAGTGAAAACTTGTACTTGCATGAGAGTTGAAGGTTTTGTAAGGGATTTTATAATTTTTTTTTTAAGATTTAAAAAATTTGAACTACATAATGTTTCTCTCATTTTTTATGCACAGAAGAGGTTTGGTATAATTATGGTTTGCAACTGTTAATCCAGAATATGATAGGGATCAACATCACAAGTGTAAGACTAGTTTGTTTTAAGCCCATCTTAATTTTAGAGC